TTTCGCATCGAGCAGCAACTCTCACCCAAAGGGAGTGACCGAATGGGTAACATGGTCGCTTCCTTGGAACAGCTGTCGGTCGACGCTGCAAACCATCCAGCACCTGCGCAAGCCACAGGTCTCACATCATTTACAGGCCCTTCAATGAAGGTGAGCCTGTGGCTACGCCGATCTTCGAGAACGGAGCTTCGCGCAGATCTCAGCCATCCAGCGGCTCTCGCGGAGGCCCATTCTCAAGCTTTCGTGGTCGCTCCGACGAGCTAATGCTCCGGCTTTCTGCGACCCTCAGTTCGCCCAACTATCGCTTCCAGCGAGGAGAGCAGAGGCTATTCATGGTGGTCACTAGGGCACCACGTCCGTATCAAACTGGCCCGCTCCCACAGGTTCACACGTTCCAGCTCCCGCGGGTGGCTCCCGATTGGTTCTCGCATTATTCAAGTCAACCAACACCAACACCCGCCAACCCCTGTTATGTCAACCCCTGCCTGTTCAGCTCCTTCGTGGAAAACCTGCCCCTGGTCACCGCCACCTTGAACATCAACGTCTGTGGACTTCTACCGAATTCAGGCTATTTTCGCTTCGTTTTAGCGAATCCCTGTTTCCAGATGTTTGTGTTCTGAGTCGTCATGCTCCCCTAAGTTGGTACCATCCATCGAGCTGTAACTCGCGAAACACCATCGCATCTGGCACCCGATAAGCTCGTTATCGACCAATGGAAAGCACGTACGTGAACGTGGATGTTTGCGACGTGGCTCCGACCCGTCCGACAAGCATAAGTACATGACCGTACTCCAGCACGGTCGTGATGGTAGTCGACTGTGGGTTATCAGGTGGTAAGCACTGGATGGGTATCAGTAATTTTGGAGGGCAAAGACCTTTTTACTGTGGGCCTCATATACGTATCTTTACTGTATTACGTTATAACAGTCTTCCATCGAACACTTCGTGGAGGTCTTGGCTGAAGACCTAACATCGGTTAGGGACTTCGTAGATTTACACAGTAGGTCAAACCCACGCGCCAATCGCTCCAGCACCATCCCCTCCCCAAACTGCTCTCGAGGAAGATTTTCTCCCGCACGACGGCTTGGACCGCTAAAAAATCTCCATCTTTCTTCTTCCTTCATACTTTCTCATTTGCTTTTGTCGCTCCCGAGGATCAAGACTGTACGACATGCTGCAACCGCGCCCTTAAAACACGCGCTGTTTGAGGGTTGCCCCTATAGTTACACTTACACCGTTAAACTGCTCTTTCTCGCCCGATAATCTCGTACAGTATGAGATTGTCACGGCGCGCCCGCAGAACGTATCACCAGCCATGCGATTTTCAGAACCTTCTGCATCACTGCAGGCTCGTTCTGAGCTAGCTGTGTCGTTCGATATTTTCTCTCCATGAATCTCGACGAGGGGATCCTTTTAATGGTGTCTAGAATCACCCAGTCGAAGGTTGATTGGTTCGAGGACCTCCTCGGTCCGTTTGCTTATTTTTCAGGGATCCGAATGGATCAAGACAGAGGTTAGCTGAAATTTGAGACACCGCGTATTCGGTGCTTGCTGCAGTCACGTTGTAGGCGAAGACCGACGCACCCACTGTACGGCCGCCACCGTAGTGACCTCCTTATAGTCTCCAATTCGCTAACAGCTATCACTTCCATGTATAGCATGCGAAGTGCTGGGCACCTGGAAGACATGTTGTGGTCTGGATATCTGGCTCCGACGGTCTTCTCCGGACTGGAAGTTGTTCCGAAATAGCTATCTCACAAAAGCCACACGCTTGTCTCAACCTCGTTTTCTAGCCTGGTCAAGAGATTTGGTCGCAAGACAACGCTTGCGCTCTCCATCTGTGTTCGCCTAAGCAACTCCACCGCAGCAGATAATCCTTTACGACTTTGTGCCTACGACTCAAAGCTTCGAAGACCTTACTCCATTGTCGGCGCTACGCTACCTTACTCCATTGTCGGGTACGGTAAGTTACGCTCAACCCTAATCTCATGGACGCTGTCCGTGTAGGCAGAGGCCAGCGTGGCAATACAATCCGAGAGTCTCCTTGTAGGGGCGCTAATCGCTGCTCCCATTTATGCGAATCCATGATGACGGTGGTCGTGACAACATCGACCTACGCAGCGTTAAATTATAGATGCAGACGCTCTGCTGCTTCTCCCTGACCCAAGATGCGATTGGTCTGCCACATCTCCGCCATTGCTGCTGCGGAGAACCTTTGCTCACCTGAGGTCGATTTCAGTGAAGTCTTGAAGAGGCTAGTCGAGGATTCACGGCCAACCCATACCAAGAGATCGGCAAGTCAGCCGGAAAGTTCCGTAGACAATTGCTCGAAGATTATCTTGAGCCGGCCTTTGTCCCCAACATGTGGGACGACGAAAAGGAGTGCAAAATGTCGGACGTTAGATTCCTCGTACTCTGTTGAAGCGTGAACCGTCGGTCGTATTCATGCCACGTCATCCCTTCTCAATATCATGGATAGGAACAGGGTTATTGCGCCCCATATCGACTACTTCAGGTCGTGATTCATGACCAAACGTCCCAGGTGCTGGAGCCCGCCCTTCTGAGCAAAGCTGCTCGTCTACAACGTGCTCGTTATGTCTACATAGACGACGTCAAACAGCTGCCGCCTGTTCTCCCCCTGATCGCTTAGGATGCGTTCATAGTTTGCGGCAGCGTCCACCAGCGACCAGTAGCGTTCACCAGCTTTCCCAACGTCCAGCAGCGTCAGCGAGTCAGCGACTAGAAAAAGTATAGATATCAATCAAGCGTCTTCCAGCGTCCCCACTAGTCGCAGGCCTGATAGAGTATGGTGTGATAACAGGGTACCAGCTGTCGCGCCTTGGTTAGTGGTATCCCGGATAGTTCCCGCCTGTTGTTGTCGACGTAATGACGGCTAGAGACATCCCGTTCTGTTCGTCGGCCTCAAGGGAAAATCCTCACAGGCACTGAGCAAATCGCTTTCCAATGGCATGGAGGCGTGGATTTGCAGCACATTCATTAATCGACTCATCCAGAGGCATCCCACGCGGCATCTGCTTCACTACATTTCACAGAAAACAATACAGCTGCGAGATGACTTGGACCACTTCGGTGACTTGTCTCTGTGGACTCTGTACAGAGACGATAGAAGGAGGCAGTCATGTTCAGTGCGAAAACCGATTAAGATCCCGATACATCTGAGTTCGATGACAACCGGCGCCTCAGTGTCGCCATTTCGCGTTGTCGACACGGCAGTTCATCTTTGGCAACGTGGTTCACTACGACGGCTCCCATCGCCTTCTGCAATGAGCTGACTCCATTCAGGCGATGGTTCCGTCCAGTCACCTCAACCGGTATCTTAGTTTGTAAAATCCTCTCTACTGAGGTGAGTTGCTTTTCCTCTTCTCGTCTGCCTCCTATATTTGAAGTCCGGGATGGACTTCGCGTAAATGAGGAAGGTGTAAGCTGCGCCGGAGGGGTGGCACTTGAATGTTTTCGTCTGACTCACGCCACCTGTTCACGGCATGGCGAGATGGCAGCAGGAAGCAAACGGGATGGACTGGTCAGGTCCAGAGCCTGCAATCCGTTCTTGCCATCAATGAGGGCAATGGGGTGTGTGTCAGGACTCACAGTCGCGTCCGAAACTAGGTCGCCGCGCTGGGAAGTGGGTCACCGCGCGCGGCGATTACATGCTTTAACATGTTTGCATGTTTGAACATGTCTACCTGTTTGGACATGTTCTTGGCAGATGGAAGATGAGGAAAAGAGAGAACGCTCCAAGCAAACTGCGATAGGGTCATATTGATCGGAAGTTGGCAAAATGCCAGGTCAGGACTCACCGCCGCGCCACGCGAACAGGTCGCCGCGCGCGGTGACCTAGTTTCGAGCGCGGCGGTGACTCCTGGCCGTCTCCCAGGGCAATGTCTCCGCTCATCGAGCCGACGTGGTTCAGAAAACTGGCGCTTTGACTATGGTAGGCGTGTGGTCGGCTGTACGGTCGTGCCAGCGGAGCTGGAAGCCTTTGAAATGGCTGATACCCTGCTGATCCCGAGCTTTGAATCAGTATCAAGCGAAAAGAGTGCATGTTTAGAGGAATGCTTTCATATCACAGCTGTTAATGCTCATATCAAGCGTGTATGAGGAATTGACTTCATTGTTTAGAATACTAACCGCACTACCGGTTAGCCGCTTGCAGATAAGTTGAAGTCAGTTGCTTCAATCTCGTTACTTTCCTGTTCTTTCCGGTCTGTATCACGTGCTACGGCCACTGTGACCTTGTAGATTCCACTTTCCACGCATAATAAGTGGCTCATCCACTTTGGGATCCCCCTAAATCATCCCTTCGGCGGGACCATGCTTGTGTATCTTCACTGCCCTGGCGGCCGCAGCCCTTCATTTCTTCTCGACCTCTTCTTTCGCACCACGATCTCCACCGTAAATCGCAGTTTTCAGGTAATTCCCTTACCTAGAGCCAACAGCAAACCGAGTGCTTCGTGAAACAATTCGCACACGCCCTGTTACCCTCATCTGCGGAAACTACCAATATAGAGACGAGCAGGAATCTAATGAAGCTCGGCTAAACGTTGACTTGCTGTTTCTGTTTTAGCTGCTTTGATGCTTAGTATTTCCATTTCTGAATCCCCTGTATGCAAACTTGCACTTCATGAAACTGAACGTACTTGGTCCAGTCCATTGGTTCCCCGACAAACATGTCATCCATTGTGTACGGGTAGGCTAGGTATACTTTGTCCTGCAATTACTTGCGCTTCACTACGTTGACCTTCATCTCATCGAAGTTTACAAGGAGCATCACAAACCGTTTTCGATGGTTGCTCAATTTCGGGTTCCGTGGCGTTCTCGATCACATATACCTTCCTGCCATCTTCTCCAAGGCCCGTGACGTCGTCGTCGGCGGCGTAACACATTCCAATCAATACCAGAACAATGCTAAGTTTCAGCAGCTTCAGCAACATTTCGATGGAAAATGAACCCTACCGCCAGTCTCTGCTTAAATACTCCAAATGTTTACTAGTTTATTATTGGCCGAGAAAAGACGATCACTTCATCGCTCCTCACACCTTTCATGCCCAGAAACGCAGGTACATGCTAATACTTGCTAGCTTTGGTGCTATTCCTAGACGGAGACGGGTAGCAGAAGGTTAATTTGCCGCTTCCTCGCGCGCGGCAAGGGACGCGACGTTTCCCTATTTTGCACTACCCTCTCAATTGGAGCATGGGATTTCACGTAGACGAGCACATGGTAGAGACTTGTGTCTATTTTTGGTAGTACATCCCCTATTCTCGACCAACACACCTCAAATCGTCGCGATTAGCGGTCACGACGTCGCAGGCGACGCCCACTGGCGCTACGATTCTCTTGCCCCCATACTCATTCCTGAAACGAATTTGACCACAGTTGACAACGATAGTAAAGGCACCATCGGCTAGGCCAAGGTTGCGAATTTCCCGATACGCCGGAAAAAGGACGCAGGGCTGGTCGAATATACTGGAGCATTCTAATGCAGCCACCCAAGAAGTTAGAAAGGATCTTTGGACTGAATTCATGAGTAGGAAACCCTGGTTGATCGATCTCGGAGCTCCTTTCCTTCGAAGCTTACGTAAAAACTATAGTCGTTCTGACTAGCTATAGTTTTTTCGTCTTTCTCAGCACAGAAGATGCTTCGAGAGGAGAAAAAGTGGCGAACTTTTTAAAAAGTTTTTTCCATCGTAACTCTTTCTTAAAGTCGCTATGCTAATATATGAGCAGACCCATACTCCCCTCCCCCCCCCCCCATTTAGCTTTGCGGGATAGATTTGAGTCATTAAAATAAGGGAACTTTTCCTCAGCACCATGACCAGCCCAGTGCTTGCTCTTCAGTATCAGCTCTGAAGAGCAAGCACTGGGCTGAGACTTGACTTTCGAAGGCAGTTGGCACGATGATTGGGTGCTCGGCCTAAAATGCTAGTAGGGCGCTATATAGTGGGGAAATGGCGAAAGAACGGAGTGAAACGGTCAAAATCCTGCGAAAAAAAGAGCCTCCGTTCTCACTGTGTAGTAATCAATTTTGGACGAGTTTCCCGTAGGCATCTTGCCAATAACCGCTACCGAAGGTACGGCTGCATATGTGTACTCATATATCCATGCAGCATCACGCCGCTTCATACCAATGCCTTCGCTTCATAATTTGCTTAGCAAATGAATCAATTAGAGCGTCTGGAACAGTCGTCCATTTGTGGGCGGGCGGGCAAGGGGGCGTTTGGGACGTAAAGTTGTGGCTTGATAGCGCCCTTATAAGGGCACCTTCCCTGGAAAAGGCATTATGCAGCGCCTGCTCAGGGTCGCGGAATTCCGTCCTGCCAGGCGTATTAGTCCTGCTCGTCTTGGAGGATTTATCGTGCCAACTGCCTTTAACAAGCCGTTCTTTTAGGGTTTTTTCTTTAACAGCAGGACCTATTCATGTCCGTCGACACCATAACAATCAGGTCCTCCATTTACTTACCTAATGATCTAGACAGTAGTTCAATGGCTTCACATGCTTGAAAGCACGGTCTGCGATCAGGTATAGAAGTTGAAAATATGGCGTCAGGAGGGTAGTGTGGTCCGCGACGAACAACCTTGTACCGGTTTCGCGGCAAAAAATTGTAAGGGAGGGGCGCTATAGCGCAATATAGGTTCAGTGACGCCTCCTTTTTCCAGTGACTCCGCCTCCAGACTCCGCCTTCAAGGCCCGCCAGGGGGCCCACAGTGAAAAACGAAGCCGCAGGACGAAAAAGCACGAAAACCGTCACATGTACGGTCGAGTTCCTCTGGGGGAAGGGGGAATCGGCTGTGAGGATGAGCGCGTAGTGTTGAAGACGGAGGTAAATGGGCATGTACAGACTAGGACCGGAATGGGGTTCTATCCAGGGCGGTGGCATGTTTTTTTCTGCTTTTTTTCTTCACTATTGAGTTACTCGGAACATTGTCGTCTACATGCAATCCCTTAACCCACCATCTGTTACCAGTCGGATCGCCCGGCTGACGCCGAGCTCTCCTCCTTCTCTTTAGCTCGGCTTCGCCGAGCTGGCCTGGCTTCGCCAGGCGCGCTCTATAATGAGAAACGGAACTCTTTCAATCACTGGGCTGCTCATACGGCGCTGTAGTGGTCGAATCATAACAGATACAGCAACCCTGCGGACCATGCACTCCTTAGCAAACGCTTATACTTGCGGTCAGCGCCATAACGCCCATACAATACATATACTATAGATATAGATAGATCGATCGAATCCATTTCAGTGCTATCGGCAAGCGTTCGTCGCTAGAGGACTGTGTACAGCAGCTGGTAAACCTCGCAGGCGTAAGAATGGGGCTGGAATCAAGGCAACACAAGAGATCGTTCCATCGACTGCTGAAATAGCCACCCCAGCTGAAGCTTCCAAGCCGTCAGTCAAGGCTAAAAAATTGCCGAAAGCGACATCATCCACCGCCTGCAATCCAAGTTCCACTTCTGCACCGCTCCCTCTAACTGCTGAAATAGCTACCCCTTCTGAAGCCACCAAGTCATCAGTCAAGAATAGAAAATTGCCAAAACCGTCATCGTCCACTGCCAGCAATCCAATTTCCACTTCTGTACCGCTCAAGGAGGTTCCTGTGGCTGTAAAGCAAGACAAGAAGCCAAATGTGCCACCTCAGATGAGTTCTGAAGAGCTCTCGTCTCTTCTATCTTTGGATGAGGTTAGTCATACTTGTTGGCCGCCAGCTTTCTCATTTAGTCCTATTTCCTACTTTCATCTAATCATAACTCCACGTTTCAGGCAGACGATGTCTCCACCTACCCGGTCCTGAAATTTACCGACTTTTCTATACCGCTGACAGAAGTTGATTCCTCTGCTGTCTCAAGTCCAAGCCGCTATCTCACAGCACTTCGGCTTTGTCACAAATTCTCCCATGGATGTGCCTTTATTCGTCATCAGCTGTTCAAATTATCTGGTCAAGCAGTTCTTGAAGCAGCGCGTCTTCTCGCAGACACCGAGTTACGTCGTCGATGTACAATGCGCTTGAAGCTGAAGTTGGACGAAAACCCTGAGGATATTGCAACGCTTTCACGGGATCTACTTGAAAGATTCAAATCCACTCGTCTGCCTCCATCAATGGCCGTTGCGATCAGTAAGTTTTGCCCTGTTTGGTAAAGACTCAGTAATTTCGTGTAATCATCGACAACTGACAAAAACAGTGATGTGCTCATATGGGATCTAAAGGCACAGTCCACGCTGACCGTATGGGCGGAGTTAGACCGTGGAGGCAGGAAGGAAGCACCTATGACGAGGCACTATGCTCTCCTTTGCTGGCTCAGGAGAATATGTGCACCAGTGAGGAAGACACAGTATTCAGGTGTCCTCACCTATACGATCAGTGTGAATTGTACTTTGAGGTCCATGTGAAACATTCTGTTTTGGTCAGAAACTAGCGTTTGGGTGCTGTTTGGCCTAGGAGGGGTATTTCGCACTTTCTCCGGTTTCATTTGTTAGTTTGTTTATTAATACACCTCCCTCCCCTACGGCCCCTCTCACACCGCAAGGCGGCAGTCTCGAGGAAAAAGGGGAAGAGGGGGAGGGACTAGGGGGAAAAAACTCCGGAAAAGCAGTAAGAAGTGGGGAAATTTAGGAAGATAATAGGTAGGATGAGGAAGGGGGGACTTAGTTGCAAAATGTTCTGTGTATTGTTAATTCATGTTAACTGGTAGGTTTGTCTTGATGAGACCTGAAAATTTTATGAAGAAGTGGTGCAACCCGGAAAATTGTAGATGTTCTTCTTGGATGCATGATAGAACCAGTTCGAACGGTGAATGAAACCTCTCTTGATGAAATGAAGCAAATGATATTTCGAGCAGAAGTCCATCACCATTTAGCGTGCACTGCGCTGGATTTTGATCTCTGGGATAAATTTAAGTGAGTTTTTAACATTAGAGATTTCGCTGCCATATCGGTAACTATTAGGTTGGCTAATAAGTAATGGCCGTTTTTTCAACTGAAAATTTGTTTTAAAAGTGAAATGTTTTGCAAGCAAGTTATATATCATCTGATAGAAAACTTTCTCGTAGTATAAGAATATCAAAGAAGCTTTGGTTGAGGATAGTGTTTTGTGAATTTTTTAGTCGTTGAAGTTGGAAGTGAAGTCGGCGAAAATTAGCATCTTCGACAACTGCCTCTAATTTTACGTCTACCGATAGGGTGCTGGGAAGGTGGCGGGGTTTGGAATAGTGCTGCTCCATTATTCATTTTTGTCGGAAAATAGGTTGAGGGTATTGATTAGTTCTCGTGTAATGTTTTTATTGCGGAATCTCCAAAACAGACGCTTGGAACTTTTAATATTTTTCAAGTAAATTTTCATTTATTTTAGTTGTGCTAGACTCTCCACTTTTTCTTTTGCCATATTTATTGGGTCATGGTCTTTCACGTTCCTGTGTTTGTCATTTTTTTTTTTCCTAAATCCATTTGCTAATGTTGAATTAGTTGGATATGAATTTGATATTCTAATACTACGAGAAATTTGCTATTAAATGATATTAAGCTTGCTTACAAAACTTTTTACTTTTGAAACAAATTTTTCGATTGAAAAAAACGGTACTTATTAGCCAGCCCACTAGCAGTTAAGCCAGCCCACTAGCAGTGGGCTGGCTAATAAGTGATAGCCGTTTTTTTCAATCGAAAAATTTGTTTCAAAAGTAAAAAGTTTTGTAAGCAAGCTTAATATCATTTAATAGCAAATTTCTCGTAGTATTAGAATATCAAATTCATATCAATTAATTCAACTATTAGCATGAAATTTCAGGTGGAACAGACGTGAGCCTGCCCAATATTGGCAAGGTGAAGGTTGCCAACTTTGAAATTCTTGAAATTAGTTCCAAAGCGTCCTATTGAGATTCCCTTGCTGAGACTTCTACCTCAACCTTTTCCGAATGTATGGAGCAGCTTAAGCGATTTTAGCACTTCGAGTAGACGTAAATAGAGGCAGTTGTCGAAGATGCTAATTTTCGCCGACTTCACTTCCAACTTCAACGACTAAAAAATTCACAAAAACACTATCCTCAACCAAAGCTTTTTTGATATTCTTATACTACGAGAAGTTTCCTATCAGATGATATATAACTTGCTTGCAAAACGTTTCACTTTTCGAACAAATTTTTCAATTGAAAAAAACGGCCATTACTTATTAGCCAACCTAATAGATGCAGTGGGCCATTTTCAAGGTGCATTATGAGTTCCTGTCCTTTATCACCTCATTACTCGCCAATTCTTGTGTTTCACATAACCAACTTCATTCTTAGAAATCCGGTACGTGCTTCTCATTCGAAATTGAGTCCTTTAGTATCCTTATTTTCAACCAAAAATTCCAGGAACGACAGAAAGGAGGTACTGAAATGGTACCTCAGCGCATTGTCTTTGGAGCGTAAACCGTTGAATCAACTTCAGTGGTCTAAATATGCGGCAAATATAATCAGGTGAGAGGTTTGCATTTGCACCCAATGGACTCTTATTCTGGATAGGCAGTGGATCTCTTAAAACCTTATGGAAAAGTGTGAACCCATTAGCGCTGATCATTCCCTGATACGCCGAGCACTTGAATTTAATTCAGGATCATACTGGCTTTTTGAAATCGATTTGCGAAGTATCTAGATGTTTTTATTCTCTCAGACGACTCTGGGGCTACTTTTACCCTTGTAAGGTCGCGCTCACACTTTGCGACCGATTGTGAGGAGATTCGGCGATCTGGGGAACCAGGCGATTTGGAGAGATTGTGAAGATGGAAGCGTAGCTATGGATCTAGCGATCGGGAGACTTGGCGATCCGGCGTGCTGGGCTCTCGAGAGACCGGATCGCTCAATCTTCTCAAACGTCGGATCGCCTAATGTTCGCAATCGCTAGCGATCCACGCCAATCGATACTCATCCATTCCCTTGACGCACGATTGTCCGAAACCCGTGTCGCCTAAAATACCGAATTACCGACTCTCCCCTATTGCCAGCGATACCTGCTCCTCGTATCGCTCCGATCGCCGAGTTTCTCAAATCGTTGAATTCCCTCTGTCGCAAAGTATGAACGCGGCCTAGGAGGTGAGGCGGTATGATTGATAGGCCCCAGCAAGATTCGGTCCCATCCACAGGTCTTGCGAGTGGTAAGCAGCGCCATGTGTCAGTAATTCGCTGCATTCGTTGTGTGCGGTGATGACCCCACCTGTCGAGAGTCCTGACCGTCTCTCCTGATTGTTATTCAACAAAACTGATTGCAGGGTTTGTGGTACAAAAGCTGAGCCTGTGGTTGTAACAAGGAGTGGAATGATCGAAAACAGTACTGGAAAGAATCAGCAGCTCTCACTGCCTAAAGAGGATCCCATCAATGAGCAAGATTTCCTTTGCCTGAAGAATGATTTGAATAGCTTGTTGAGCGAGCTCAGCAAAGGCAGCGGTTAGTTGTATTTTTCCGAGAGGACATACCTAAAGACACATCAGGCCTACCCTTGGGCCTTCCTCATGGGTAAGCCGTTAGGGGTGCACCTGAGGAGGGCACAGTTGTGGGCCTGGGTGTGCTCATGGGACTAGCGTGGAGTACGATTTCATATGCTTACAACTAACAGGTTTAGGTAGTGTCACCAGGAAGGAAGTCGCTACTTTACGGAAATGCATACAGTCGTGGTCAAAAGGGAACAGCGAGCGAGCGGTGGTGATAGACTCGTTGAACGTCTTCCATGGCAAGACTTATGCATTCGACCCGCTTGTGAAGCTAACGAACAGGTTCCTTTTTTATTTAGCCGCACACATCGGCTTGGGAGGGGCATTTGCACTTTCGCCACTTTCACTTCACGTCGACGTGTCATGCCATCAAGTTCAGACCTGTAAAATCTTCTGAAGCGATAAACACGACGATAGGAAGTTGCGAAAGTTCAAACTCCTCCCTACCCTCCTCCCCAGGCTCATTCTGAAATAAGTTTCCCGGAAAAAATGTGGATCAGGTTTTTTTTCCACTGTTAGGACTGGGACGTTCAACTGATCGATTTATAGGCTGGCGGCAGAGTACGATAATGCCGTGCTCGTGACAAGGCCGTTCTTGGCTGAAAAGTTGAAGTTTGTGCGATGGCGAGGAAACGTTCGCGTCTTCTCATGCTCCACTTTGTAAGTTCGCTTAGGGTTCCTGTTCAAAATGCTTTCTTTGCAGGACCAGACGCTGTAGAGCACTTATCCAAGGTTCTAGTGAAATCCACATTAGCCCAGTCCTGGTTTTGCCTTGAAAAACCGAGCTTCCCATCCATCCGTGGTCTTAAAATCTTATGGATACTTACAAGCTTTCGCCCCCTCAAGATTTCGCCCCCTTGTACGAACCCCATCTCTCCTTTCCGTCCCACATCACACCTGCTATCTTCTCAATTTCCCCGCTTGACCACTTTCGATTCCTCCGCTTCTTCCCCAAAAAACCGCTGTGGAGCGGGAGTAGCAGGACATATTATGCGTTGCGGTTTCTGGTCAAGTTTGTGCGACCCCCCCTTCCCCCCTGATTGTGAACTCGCCAACGATGGTGTGCCCTGGGGGAAGGGGTGAGGCAGGAAAAAACTGAGAAAATTCAACAACCGAAAACATTTTTTGGGGACAATTTCGGCATGCCTCCTTTCCCTCTACCCCCCCCCCCTCGCCGGAGATCCTCAAGGTACAACGTGCTCCGAAAGCAGTAAAGTGCTTGTCTGCTGTTTCGAGTTTTGTGATAATTTGTTGATTAGGTCTGAAGATGATCTGCTGGTGTTGTTGGCAGCAGTTGAATGGGGCCCAAATGCCTACGTGCTCAGCAATGATAGATTTGGTGTGCATGTGGAACGTGCTAACTGCACTGGACGACTTTCTCTGGAAGAGTGGATGCGGCGAAGGATACTCCGATTTGACAGGGTTCACTGGAACTATGATGTGCGTTGATTTTTACAGTACATAATGGTTAAATTGCCTAATTCCTTTATTCAAGGCCCTCCCTGAATACGGCGAGTTCGTCCAAGAAGTCACTCCAAACACGTTTTTCGTGCCGATTTCTGAAGAAACTCCTGGTATTCCTCGGCGATCTGCTCGGCTTGTCACGCTATGATCATAGAAAGGGTGTCGTCGTAGATGAATGGTATCCCTCAGCGTCATGAGTAGCCTCAATAGCCCAGTCGTGATGCTTTCAGGGTTTTTTTAAGTCGTTTACGATTCTAGGCATAGTAGTTTAGTTCTTTGTTACTATAGAAGTACTTTCACTCAATCAGAAGTACTTGTACTTAATCATTGCGCAAATTGCAGATTTTATTAGTTACAGTAAGAACCGTCCTGCGGTAGGTCTTGGGCCTAGACCATCATCTTAAAGTTGATAACGTCGTAATCAGTCGGGGCGGAATGGGCCGCCGCTGGCTGCCTTGCTCTTCCAGTACTGGAAGGTTAGTAATCGATTTAGGAAGTGAACAACCAGTTGTGCAAACTTCGCGAACGGGCTTATTCCATCTGTCTTGGAACCGCCCCGACTGGTTTTGGCGATATCAATGGTAACGGTTTTAGTTCCCTAGTTCAGGGGACTCCCTTCTCTTGTTTCGCTCAACTTTTCCAGTTGTTATTGTTGTTTACATAAAACTTGGTCTTCTGTTATGTCTTTTTTAACTTCAGATGCTACAAAATGTACTAGCATGTTGGTAAATGTATAAAGGAAATTTTTCAAATTACAACGATTTAATACATCCCTCCGAGGAGGAGGTACGACAGTAGCAGGCGCTCCGGTGCTACACTTTAGCCAATGAAAAAAAAACGAGAAAGGGCCAAAATCTGACGGACCGGAGGTTATGCCCGCCTGCGATTCGAAGGTGAACGGCTTGTCTTGACCCATGCACACTCATATCCCGAAAGTGGAAAGGGCGTGGTTGCGTGCATTATTTGAAGACGGCGCTGATTTCCCTTCTGATGGTATTA